TTGCCTAGATTCTTGCTAGTAAGTCCAGATATATCTTACATTTTGGTACGGCATCATTACGTTATATAGTTAATCCGAGCAAACGATGCAACAATATACATTGTGTGTATTTTTCCCTATTTTTTTTCTTGACAACTTACTTTTTCATTGGGGGAATCAAATCATTAGGGTCCACTTGCAAAAATATTAGCGGTTTTACACGCGTATGATCGTTGAGTTTCAGATGGGATGTCGCTGTATTGACATCATTTCTTCTATCTTTCTCTTCCCAGCGAAGAAATTTTTGAAACCACGGCGTCCGTTTCGCAGTGGCCGTCTGAGTTCTACGTTGTAAGTATCCGATTCAGATCGACTCCATATTATCAACATTTCTGATATTCCTACGAATACATCGCGCCCTCTTGTGATAGAGAGCTCATAAGACATTCGTCTTTAAGAATAGACCACTTTCCTGAATGTAGCGTGGCTGAAGTGCAGAAAAACGTATGTTTATACCATAATGATGGCGGCAAATACAGACACGTCAGCTTGCTGATATTTGATAAATAGGAGTTTTTTTTCTTGAGAGACGTCGATTGATATATCCACAAGCGCAATAACATGCGTACATGGTTCCTTTAATCCTCATATTCGGTATGCGCGCGCATGCGAAACGCCGTATCTTCGACATTCAGGGAAAGTGGTCTATATAGTATAATAGCCCAAAAATAGAGTCTTCATTAATTGACGGCTACAGATCAAAACGATAACGACGATTTGTTATCCGTTCATACCATAGAAACGAAATCGTTTTCTTTGTGTTATATGTGTCGATCTGTTTTTCAAAGTGTAAGCGGTTAAATGTTAAATTAATAACATAGTTCTATGTTGTAAATAGCACTTGATGATTCTAGCTCCGTTATTATACCACGTAGAAAAATTATCGCTTTTAATTTGTGTAATTAAAATGGAATAGTGCTCTACTTACTTAACGAGAGAGAACATGGAACACTAGTTGAGTGAAAAAACAAGACTCGTGGAACTGTCACTCTAACGAGATCTTCGAGTTGACGACAGTTTGCGTCTAAGTCCTACTCATTTTTTTATTTGTATTTTCACAGAACCATCTACTAAATAAAACAGCTGGAAAAAACACCACAACTGCTGAGTTCATGAAAGTAATGAAAGAACTGGACTCAATTAAGTAACTACTGGTGTATTTTTATATTAACGATCATTGTACTTTAGTGGGATGAATATTAAATGTATACAATATACTTATAAAGTTTGTTTAAATACGCGGTGACGTTATTTGAAGAATGACAATAGGCAGAGCACTGCAACCTTCATAATAGCTTACATTCTAAATTATCACTGATTGGAGCATAATAGAGAACCTATTCATAGGTTTCCAGCGTCGATATCCAACCAAACCTGGTGGTGTTTGAACCGGGTTACAATTATTTTCAAATATGTGCATAAGAACTATGTAATTTGCATAAATAATCAATTAAACTATTCTGTCTTACGCAGGAGAAACTTTGCAAAGGTACAGGTATATTTTGAGGATTTGAATGTGGAAACAATCACTGAGGTCAAAGCTTACCAGGTATGCTATATTTGATACATATTATTAAAGATAATGATCAATCTGTTTCAATTAACAATTAGTTGCGCGCCGGAACTTTCTGATGTGCTGAAATCCTGTCGCTAACATCCGATGTTTCTGCTGTATTAAATCCCTGCGTTAAGAAAATGAACATTGTTATTCGATGTTATGGTTCAAACCAAATTTAGATATATAAGGTCACGCGAGAAGCCGAATGGGACGACAGTTTGAGTTTCAACGCTGAACCGATCGAGAAAGTAATTCTCCCACATTTCATCCTGATTCAACTTTTGGATTCGCCATAGAGCCAAACTTTTAAAATCGAATTAGTGTTCACTTTTCATGGCAATGTTTTAGTTTTCTGTATATCATAATTTGGTCATCAACATGCAATAACAAACAATATTAAACATATCATGGACCTATGTGTTTAGAGGTCCATGAACATGTATATGTTTTCACACATATTACATCTTTGAGATTCTTCAAACGTAAATTAAGTTCATAGAAACCAATAACGAAGCAACCAGGACCGTCGTCAGCAACTGATTGGGGACTTTGATAAATTTACTTACCCTCGTTACTAACCAAATCTAGCTCAGTGTTTACGGTTATTTCCGGAGTGTAGCGTCAACTATCATGGCGACCAAAATTCGGTCTGTACTTTTATTTCAGGAGGAGAACATGTTGGGAGATCTTGGAGGAACTATGGGTCTTTTCCTCGGTATGTCCGTCATAAGCATCATGGAGTTTGTGGAGTTCATCTTGTCACTGTGCGGCATACTGATTAAACCTGCAAGCAAGACGAGCAAAAAAGTAGGCACGCAGAGCCAAACGTGGCAAGTCAATCATATTTATGTCTGGTCGTGTGATTCTTCCTTGCGATTGGATACACGAAAATATCTATTTTCTATTTTTGTTCAACTTTTCCTTGAATGGTGCGGTTTTTTTACTTGTTGAGATTTATGGTGATTTGTTGGTTTTAGTGGCACTCTAAAAACATTTCTTCTTTTTGAATGAATGAATGAATGAATGAATGAATGAATGAATGAATGAATGAATGAATGAATGAGTGAATGAATGAATGAATGAATGATCGAACTAACAAAGGAACGAAAAAACGAACCAGCAAACCATCTATACACGTATACCACAAACAACACACTGTCGAACGAATGACATTGTGGTAGGTGGTTAACGAGAAGGAATAAAGATATAATCTTTCATTCGTTGTTAGTCATTACAGTAGTATGACTCGATATTATATCAACAGGCAGACAAACCTCGTGCATATTAGATGTGTTAAGCTAAGCATTTATTTGTCACTATCTAATCTCTCATGTGCGATATTGTTTTCCTGTTTCAGATGCGGGAACGGTCGGACTCTTACGCACCAACATCCTAACCTTGTGCAATATTCGATTTCTGTGTAAACAATTTTCAGCCCTAATATATGCGTTTCGCAAATGTAGATCGTGTACGATGTGATTGAAATGACATCCATGTTTTATATCAATAACTGTAATCTACAAATAATAATGTGTTTTATCTAACTAGACAGTTATAGCAATGTTTTATCATATTTAATAATTTATTATTCATATATTGTATTCAATAATGTAACAGTAATGTAGTAATTAAATTAATAGTTCATGTTGTACATTTTGATAATTTCAAAAGCATACAAATATGAAAATATTATAGTTGAACTACTACAATTCTTTTCAGTGTTTGGATTATATTATGTATTATTTCCTATTTGTGTGATATTACACGGAGTATGTACATCCCGCATACGAATTCTAAATATGGAAAGATTACGCAATATTTCAAGTTGCTTGGCAGACATATTTGAAAAGGTAGTTCATACTGACGAAAACCATCTAGCTCAGTTGACGGATTCATACACGATTCGAATGGGTCGGACAGGTGTATACTTAGAAGCACATTACGAGAGATACAGCAAAGTATACACGACGACTATGACGTGGAATATCATTGTAACGTGTACATTGAGATTATCTGAAGTTGAGAAAAACAAAATCGAAACATGTGCTGGAAAAGTAGCACTGGTATGTGTTCAAGTATAGTATAGTAAAGTATAGAAAAAAAATTAACATATTCATTGAAAAAGTTCATTCTGTTTACAGTACAAATAATTGAATATATATAGCAGAAAGTAAGATACACATTCTACAGTATTCACAATATTTTGAGTACTATCGCGTCTTTGGAAAGCACAGCGTACAATATTTTATTATGCTAGTATTTTTTTGCAACGATTTGTTGTATGTTATTAATAGAAGAACGAATTTGTTCGCAATACAAAATAATGACATTTTTTTCCTATTTGTATCAGTCGTTTATCTTAAGACCAAATTATATTTAAATTTTATTAATGATAATACAATATCAGTAAACAATGACTTATCAACCCAGAGCATTATTTCTCATGTGAATTGTCACTGGAATATCATATGGTGTGTATTAGGTAAATAAAATTAGCATACATAAATCTCAATGACAGTGTTGGATGTTCATTTCCATTATAAAGTAGACATGATGATAAACCTCTTACTGCTCGTCGCGTTGGTTCCATCCGCTGCTCTCTGTCAGGACTTAGAGGCGAGGACCTTGGGATTCTTCACAGTAGAATACCCAGCTTTTACCAGCGTCATTGACTTGGCCGACACCCCTGGCTTGTATGACCTATTTGTGACAACCTTCGAAACACAACCAAATACCACCGATGAGGTGTATGCTGTACGCGACTTGGCAGCCAAACTAGACAATGTGTCAGCCATAACAACAGAGTTGGTCACGGATGAGATTCTCTATCCAAACGAGATTAACCTCGTTCCAGGTAGATATATTCTTTACATTTACGTTTCATAGAAGTTTGGTTACCGCGTGCGTAGCATATCAACAGATTCGGACAGAGATAACTAGTAATTAGTGTTGCTCCTTTTATTTTATCTAAATCGATCCATTCTAAATATATGTAAATGTTACGTATACAAATATCAATAAAATCTCACGTTACTAAAATTATACATCGAACATTATACTGAAAACACCGTATGTTGGGGCGTTACCATGTTCACAAGGAGGGCGACAAATGGTTGTAGGTCAGAAACACATCAGATAAGGCCAGAGCGTGATAAAAAAAATGATAATTATATGCAAGTGTCATGTCATGGCATGAAATGAAGATCACGCGATTGATCACTGCAAGGTACACTGTGCGAAATAGCTAGAATCCACTGTTGATTCCTATCTTTATTCTACTAGATATCTTCACTATCCATACGAATGTGAAAGAATCCATTATTGATATCTGAAGAATTCATCTGAAATGCATAGTGGATTCCAATGAATACGGAACATAATATCCATCATAGAATCCACAAAATGGATTCCTTATGTATCTCTGAGAGTACAGT